TTATCTTAAATAAAAGAGATGCACCATATTTTTAAATATGTGGTATGATATAGGATTTAATCATTTCAAATAGATAGTAATACATGTAATAAATAATAATTTCACTATTAAATCTGGTGATTAATCTCAATACTGCATTCAAAATTCAGGCAGTCTCTAAGCATGTGCCTCTTCTGGCTTTGTTCTCAAGACCTGATCTTCAACTAGGTCAAATTGGCTCACTATGCCTTTCTTCTGAGTTTAAACAAATATTTATGTATGCATCGACCAAAGGCAGGATTTTATCAAGTCCCGCTTTTAAGACTTAGTATTCTGATCTCCCTGTTGTGGGGAGTTTGCTAATATCATTTACCCCAGCTGAAGTTTTAAAACCAGAGATTAGCTTTTCATTGCCATGTTTACCACATAGATTTCATTCCTTTGACAGTACCCTAGGTTATGGCATTTTTAACTGTTTTCTCAGAATGAGGTAAGCTCCCCCTCCCTTATCTTGGCATCATTTTTTATGTTATAGAGTTGCAACGATGGGGGGGCAGGGCAGAGTTCAGTAAAGTTAGCCACAGGGTCCCACTCTTCTGGCTCCAGGAGATTTTTCAAGTCAACTCTGAATTCTAATATACAACTCTGGTGAATTTTAGTCTCTTCAGCTTTTTTTTTTTTGCTTTTCCCCCTTTTCTTTACATTTCTTTTTCTTTTCTTTTCTTTTCTTTCCTTTTTTTTTTGTAGAAGGGACATGCTGAACTCTAGGAATTCTAGAAGTCCTTTCTTTTCTTTTTCTGTGTTTCACCCCCTCATTTCTTTCTAACTTGAGGAGATATTGAAATACTTTCACTGCAGTCTTCTTAAATATGATTTTGTGGATTTGTTTTAAAACTTGTTTTGAGCATAAGTTTTCCTACTTAAGTTCAGTTCTCAACACCTATGAAAGGCACTTTACTAACATTCGTGAGTACAGAAAAAGTCAAGAGTGTATAGAAGTTCACAGGAAAATAAAAAGTAATAAAAAAATAATTTTCTCTAGCTTCTCCCTCTTCACACATCTCTGGAACTTTCTAATATCCTAGACTCCATTTCTTCTTGGTTCTCTGGCTAGAAAATCAGTTGCTTTATTTTTACCCTGTTCTGCTGTGTACTCCCACAATTATGGACAAGTTGTGAGAGGCCACAGAAAGAAAAAGACAACATGGATAAGAACCACACTCTTGGCACGGCAGGCCCCTCAGTTAAAATAAAGGTTCCTCTCCTTCAGAGTTAGAAGCTTTTGAAATTCCCCATTATGCAAATGCCACAGGAATGCTTTGCTAAAGCAAAAAATAATAAAGACAAGAAAAAAAAAACAATAATTGGGGATTTCCCATATTCTTTCTGGTTGTTAGAAGACTCCTTTCAGTTCCTAGCAACAGAATTATAAGAAGTCTCCTGTCTTAGTAATATTGTTGCCACATTGAAGAATTCCTGAAAATACCGAAGACAAAAAGATCTGACTGTTTGATATAGCCTACTTTGATATAGATCTACTCTTCTTTTCTAAACTGCTAGTTACTATGTGCTTTCTTTATTATGCTGTTTCTCTAAAGCATCCAAAGTGTAAGCTTTATAACTATGTGCAATGGGAGAGGCAAGATGTTCTTACTTGAGCTTATCCAGTGTAGTTTGGCCTCCTCATGCGTTCATAACTATTTTCTAACTCAGTTGAGTTATGGCATATGGTGATGTTTCTATATCAAGTGGTTATTCAGTGGACTGAAACGCATGCATATATGCACACACATACAAGCATATACAAACGCTTAGCTACACAAAGAAATAATTATAATTGCTTTAAAAGACTTCATGTAGGCCTCACATACCCTTTTTCCTTTAGAGTTTAAATTGAAGACTATTAATTTTCATAATAGTAAATAGATAGTAAAAGAAATAAACTCTGAGTCTAAAAAGTCTTTGTTTATCAGAAATCTAATCATTAACAAATTTTCACTAGTTTTTAAAATATGAATGTCAATTTTTACCAATAATTGACTCAGATATTCTCATGAGAGAATAGTCAGAAATTCTTCAATCACATCTTCTAAAGTGAAATATGCTGGCCCTAAATCAGAATATTTCTGCCAGGAGTGTACTTTTTTGAGTTGTGAATGTGTTTAAGATATTTTACTGCATCTTTCAAGATCTAGAAGTAAATTTCTTCTGTTTAGATATTAGATAAAATAATCATGGTGAATGTTTTGACTGAAGGCACAACCGAAATGATAAACTCCTGTTACTTAGGCAAGCAGGAGACTATAGAATTTCTTTGAACAATTAATATTTCCAAAATAGCTGATCTTATTATTTTAAAAGCTTTATAAGTCAAGTGACATTTTTAGCATAAAGTGGCATGAAATTTGACTTCTTTCAATTATGATGTATTTTTAACAATTTGAAATATATAATCTTTCTCATTGCTAATTTAAATTTCATCAAAATACAGTATTTTGAGATATTTGTGTTTATAAACATTTTTTATATCTGGCTCTAAATTAAACATATGAATAATAGCTAAAGCACATCAAACAAAAATAGTTACATTTATGTATATTTCCTTTCTAATTTTTTTTGGATCACACCCAGTGATGCAAAGGGGTTACTCCTGGCTTTGCAGTCAGGAGTTACTCCTGGCAGTTCTCAGCGGACCATATGAGATGCTGGAAATCAAACCTGGGTCGGCCGCATGCAAAGCAAATACCCTACCCATTGTGCTATCGCTCCAGCCCCATGTGTTTTCCTTTCTTATATGGAAGATATCAACATAGAAATTTCAGGGCAGTATTCATTCATCTTTTAAAAATGTGCTGAGGGGCCAGAGAGATAATACAACAGCCTTACACACAGCCCACACAGGTTCCATCTCAGGCACTCATCCCATATGGTCTCTAGTTCTGCTGGGCATGACCTCTGCATGCAGATTCAGAAATAAGACCTGAACACAGCTCAGTGTGGCTCCAAAACAAGCAAGCAATAAAAATTAAGAAGGCATTTAATGAAAATCATGGAAAGGTTGTGGAAAGATAGTATAATAGGTAAGGAACTTGCCTTGCATGCTGCTGACCCTGTTTGATCCATGGAATCCCATACAATCCTCCGAGTCCGACCAATAGTGATCCTTGAGCACAGATCCAGGAGTAAGGAAAGAGCACTTACATGTGTGATGCCAAAACAAAAGAAGGAAAAAACAAACTCTCAAAAAAGAAAAACAAACCCTAAGTTGTAGCTGTTGGTACAGCTAACCTGGGAACTTGGAGACTATTATGCAATCTACGATTAATGGCTCAAAGATAAGGCACACTATGCATAACCTGCACATGATGGTCATATTACAAAGTTTATTGGGGAGGATGACGGTTTCATATGGGGGCATAAAGAAACATATTACGTACGGATTACTAGACAGAAAGAGAAGAGGAATTCTATGGTTACATGGTCTAGAAGGGAAGGAATGTCACAAGGTGTCATGAGATTTCTATGAGCTATTGCAGAGGTGGAACAATGAGCTCCTCAGACACTACAAGTGTAGCCTTGTCCTATCTCAAACCCCCAGTCACAAGCAATTGCAAGGCCATTGAGCCATGCTAATCAATGCGGATTATTGGTTCCATGCCAGTGTGCCCCCATCAAGGCCAAGACCAGTGTTCAAACTTGCCCAGAAGGAAGACGGTCAGGTGGTTAGTGAGCTGCACCAGGAAGCACTCCAATACCAGTTTATCTACAGGTGTTTGGATGTTTAACCTTTCTTTCCTTGACCATGTAAATGATCATGGACTATTGATGGTTTACCATTAGTAAAGAATATTGATTTTATTTACTTAAAATAAAGAAAATAAGACCTTAAAATTTAAATTTTACATGGATACTATATGGTTTATTTGTTGTGGCATATTTCAATATTTAGATAGGTTCTATGCTAAATTTTTTTAGAGAAATTAGAGTTGTAACAGTAACGACAATTTATTACCTAATATGCATCCTTACAGTATTCTTTTGACTATGAATTTTGATACATTTAGCAGATAGTAATGGGTCAAGCTAAAATATTACCAGCATTAAGTAAGGTTTATCTGAATACTCCAAATAGATGTCTAAGATAAAATTTCTTCTTTTGTTCTTGCAAAAATTTTCTTTGTTTCTACCTAAAAGTCATACAACACTACTGAAGCTCCAGTGAATGCCCTATGATCTCAAGTAAAACTTGGTGAATGGAAACCACCAGATTAGGATGAGAGAATAGGAAGTCATAAGAAACCTAGGCTATTGAAGTAGCACTGTAGCACTATCCTCCCATTGTTCATTGATTTGCTCGAGCAGGCACCAGTAATGTCTCCATTGTGAAACTTGTTGTTACTCTTTTTGGCATATCGAATACGCCACAGGGAGTCTGCCAGGCTCTGCTGTGTGGGCGGGATACTCTCAGTGTCTTGCTGGTCTCTCCGAGAGGGATGGAGGAATCAAACCTGGGTTGGCCACGTGCAAGGCAGATGCCCTACCTGCTGTTCTATCGCCCCAGCCCATTGAAGTATATATTATATATTTTAACTAAATTTAACAGGCAAGAAAAAATGTGCACTGAATTTTCAGTTGGGGCTTGAACGAATAATAAAAAAGTAAATAGAATATATTATTAAGGGATAAGAATGTGGTTCAGGGACCGGAGAGATAGCACAGCGGGTAGGGAGTTTGCCTTGCATGCGGCCTGACCCGGGTTTGATTCCCAGCATCCCATATGGTTCCCGGAGCACGGCCAGGAGCAATTCCTGAGTGCATGAACCAGGAGTTATCCAAGGTGCATCGCCAGGTGTGACCAAAAAAGAAAAAAAAAAAAGAATGTGGTTCAGCACCAGAGCACATGCCTTATATGTGAGGGGCTTAGTTTTATCCCTGCTCACTCTGGAGAGAAAAAAATATTAATTGCAGAGAAATAATTAACTATTAGATGTAAATAAGAAACTGTGAATTGTTTGGGAAGCTTGGGTATGGATCACTTCAAGAATTTGTGTGTCATCCTTGCTCACTGGCCCTGCTCATCTTCTCTATATAAGATTCATTTTCAACAAAACTAACATCAAGTGTCTGTATAAGAAAAATCATTGTTTATTCGTTTTTGATGTAAGTTGTGCTTGAAAAGCATATTAAAATTATGGTTTATAAATGTGATACTTAAAATGTAATCTCTAGATTAGCAGGGTAGCCCCACTTGGGACTGACTAGAAGTATAGCATCTCAATTGCTTCCACAGATTTCATTGTCCTCCCATTGTTTATCAATTTCCTCGAGAAGGCACCAGTAACGTCTCCTTTGTCCTAGCCCTGAGAGTTTAGAAAGTGCCACATTCGAGGCTATTTCAGGGCCAGGGGAATGAGACCCATCATTGTTACTGGGTTTTGGAATATCAAATATGCCCCGGGGATCTTTCCAGACTCTGCTGCTAACCTGCTGAGTTCTCCAAGAGTAAGAACTAAATAATAAGAGGTCACGTGGTCACAGATGTGGCCGCACACTTCCGGGAGCTGGGTTTTATAGTTTCTGATTTATTGCATCAAAATTTATAACCTAATAAGATCCTCAAGAAACTTTAGAGACATTAATGCTACTAAATTGTGTTTTCAGTTCACTAACATTGATAGAACTATTATGTCTTATGTAGGATTAGAGGATTTTTACATGCAATCTTTATTGCATCTCTAAATGGCATTAAAACACATGGAATGTAGTATTTGGCTTTGTTGAATTTGTTTTTAGTGGATAACAACCACACAATTAAACCATGTGCTTACCTTGCAGCATGTAGGGATTTAGCTGAAATGAAGTGAATAATACTAATTACAGCGATAGCACAGTGGTAGGGCATTTGCCTTGCACTCAGCCAACATGGCTAACCCAAGTTCGATTCCTCTGCCCCTCTCGGAGAGCCCGGCAAGTTACCGAGAGTATCTCGCCCACACGGCAGAGCCTGGCAAGCTACCTGTGATGTATTTGATATGCCAAACACAGTAACAAAAAAATCTCCAATGGAGACGTTACTAGGTCCGCTTGAGCAAATCGATGAACAACGGGAGGACCTTTACCTTTACCTTTTACAAACACAGGAACCTTGAAAGTTAAAAATATTGTTCCCACACATTGTGACTAGGTCTGAGGAAAAAATGTTTCTCAAATCTCACCCATCCACTCCAACAATGTTTTGCCATACAAAATGACCCTTGTCCACACTTAAATTGCAAAACCCAATGGTCATACCAAAGACATATGCCAATTCATGGTCTTTTATTTTGGAGCTATTTCAATTGAACTCATTTGCCATGTTCATAAATCCTTGTTTATAGGGGATCCATTACTAACACATAATCTCTTCTTTTTCTCCAGAATTACAAGTGTAAATTGATCAGCAAAAGCTCCTTCTCTGACTATACTTTTCCACCATACATCAATTCCCTTCTTTATTTGATACTATTCCTTGAAACTTACCTTTCTAACACACAATTTGTGACTGAGATCATTGGTGGTGGAGAATGGGCACTGGTGGAGGAACGTGTACTCAATCATTGTGTAACTGAAACCCAAGCATGAAAGTTTGTAAGTCTACATCTGTACCTCATGGTGTTTCACTAATAAAATAAATAATTTTTTTTAAAAAATAACACAACTTGTGATATGTAAACCTATATGAGTAGTTCAGCTACATATTAAATACTTTCTTCTTACCATCTTAGTTGCTTCTTATGCCTGTGTTTGCTTAAACGTTAGTAATTAATATTTGTTTAGTAATAACTTGGAAAAATTATTCCAGAAAAACTGAAAATTCTTTTAAGGAATGTAAGGAAATATTCTGATGACTATATTATAGACAATGTAGAAAGGTAAATTTATGATAGCCAACGTTTATTAACTTTAAGTAAATGTAGATGAATCCATTTACAGATAAATATACAGATCGATATATAGATACATATAGAAATACCATACCTTCATGGTAACATTGCTTCTTATCCCTCAGGATCAAAGGGTAAATTGTTATATGTAGAGCTATTATAAGGATCCTAACAGATGAGTATAAGTTAAGTGGCTTATGCTATCAAACAACAATGCTGCACTTTTATGAGGACATTAATAACAGATGTGAGAGAAATGTAAGTATAGATAAAAGTAGAAAATGCTAAGCATAAATTATAATTAACTTTATTATTGTTTTCCCCAGTAATGTTCCTTTGAAATAGCATAAATATGCAGGCTGAGTTAGTTCAATGGGACTGTCTTCTAAATACCATATATATATATATATATATATATATATATATATATGTAGGTCATAAAAGAATACCCATATCTGGGCAAAGTACACTGCCTGAAGAAGCTGCCTCTGATCAGGTTCCTTCAAGAGCTGACAAGTGCAGAGAATCTCCAGTACTGATGGAGGATGAGTGATTTTCTCACTGCCCTTCTGAATTTGCTCTCCGGTAGTTTACACTCTCTCTAGTTCACTGCCAATTAAATTGTATGCTGATACTCTTTTGACATGGATTTCTCTCAATGTGATCACAATTATATGTATTATGCCGGTATGTGGCTGGTTTGTAAGTGAAACGTTTCCATTCAAGTGAACATGTTGAAATACAAATCAAATATCACAAAGTCAGATCAATTTCCATTAACTTACATTTATATATGTAATATATATACATATATATTCCATTTTTCTCTCTGAAACTTTTATAATATTAAGTTCAATCTGAATACATTGATGTTAAAGAGAAATATATTGTACTTAAACTATATGGGTTACTGGAAGATAGAAAATTCTGATAAGGATAATTTTTCTCTGAAATTTATGATAAAATAAAACATGATGTCATGAAATTACTAGAATGTTTAGAATTAATGGACGAATATAAATAGTTATGGTATATTATTATGATTGCTCGGCATAGAGGATAATATGTTCCATACTGAGAAAAAGTAAGACTTGTTAGTATTTACTTTTATTTTTTTATTTTGGGTCACAACTGGCAATGCTTAGAGATTACTCCTGGTTTTACTCTTAGAAATTACTACCGGCAGTGCTTGTGGAACCATATAGTATTCTGGAGGTTGAACCTGGGTAGACCACATTGAACATAACTACCCTAACCACTGTACTATCTCTCCCTGTACTTGCTTTGGTATTTTCTAAATAATCTAGTATCACAATCATAAGCAAGTATTTTGAAAATTTTCAAATTTTTTAAATTGGACTTTATCAGTGAAAAAAAATCAGCATTTAAAAATATGTTAAAATCAGTTGTTTGTCTACTTATCTTTCATTATATGAGTTTTTCTTAGAAATAAAAACATGTTAATATTATTTTTTCTTCTATGCACGCCACCTCTATTTCACTTGATCACTTGATATTCCGTTACTCATCAATTTGCTCAAGCAGGCGCGAGTAACATCTCCATTCATCCCTGTTGCGTGCTAGTGTAGCCCAATGGCATCTGCTCATTGTAGGAACATGAAGAGCCTCAAACAGATCGTTCAGGGTCTTGACAAAGAAGTCTGACCATCTCGTAGGTGGGCGTCCAGGCGTTCTTTTGACGTCCCGTGGAATCCAGTCGGTAATGGCTGTAGTCCAGTGGTCGTTTCCAAATCTCATTACATGTCCCCAGACCATCTGATTTTCAAAGTCTTGGTAAACGAGACAGCGTCCCTGATTCTTGAGCATTGACGAAGTTTGGAACTCCGGATTCTTTCTCTTATTTCAGTGAAACGTGATACTCCAAGCATAGCTCTTTCAGTTCCTCTTTCGGAGACCAAATAGGGTTCTCACCCTATTTTGATAGGCCCCAGGTCTCTGAGGAGTATACTAATGCAAGAAGAACAGTGGAATCAAAGAAATGTGCCCGGAACCAGAGGTTCTTTGTCCTATTTGCTATTTCTTCAACACTCTTGAAGGCGTTCCAAGCTGCTCTCTTCCTCCTGTGCAACTCAGGTGCCAAATCATTCTCATGTTGACTTCTCGACCTAGGTACACATAACTGTTGCATTCGGAGATGGTTGTTCCATTGAGAGCGAATGGAGCATCAGGAACAAGGCTGTTTCTCATAAACATTGTCATCGTGAGATTCAGCTGTAGTCCGACCTTTTCACACTCACGGTCGAAGTCGGCCAGCATTTGTGCCTCTTGGCAAATGTTTAGTGTTATTAGTATGATGTCATCAGGAAAGCAGAGGTGGTGTAGTTGCCGACCATCTATCTTCACTCCCATTCCTTCCCATTCCAGTCGTCGCATGATGTTCTCAAGGGTGGCACTGAAGAGTTTCAGTGAAATGGTATCACCTGTCAAACACTTCTCTTGACGTCAATGATCACTTCTTTGTAGAATGGTGAAATCCTGGTAGTGAATCCGTAATACAGCTCACAGAGGATCCCGATGTATCGAGTTTGAATGCCCTGATTGGCTAGGGCTTCAATGACCGCTTCCATCTCAACAGAATCAAAGGCCTTCTTTAAATCAATGAACATTAGACAGAGCGCATCTTGAACTGCCAAGAAACCTCAAAGAGCTTGGTTATCGTGTGGATATGGTGGATAGTGCTGAATCCTTTTTGGAACCTGGCTTGCTCACATGGTTGTCCTTCATCTAGTGTTCTCCCAATCCTGTTCAGGATGACTCAAGTGAACAGCTTGTAGATGACAGACAATAGTCAGATTGGGCGATAGTTGCCAATGTCGTGGATGTCTCCCTTCTTGTACAGTAGTACAGTTCTGCTGGTTTTCCATTGGGATGGAATCTTGCATTCAGACAGGTAGCGTGTGAAGAGCCAAGCCAGTGTATTGATGAGTACTGATGGCAGGATCTTCAGGTGTCCAGGTCTGACCTTGGCTGGGCCAGGTGCTCTTTGTTTGTTTACCGACGAGATGGCGTGTCAGAGTTCAGAAGGGAGAATGTTGGGAACGACATATCCATCCTGCGGAATTTTGTATGTGGGCAAGTGGAAATGGCTATTAAAGAGTTTTCAAAGATGGGTGTTTTTCGTGGTTATCTCTCTCTTGTCGTTTCTCGCACAACCATGGAGGTGCTGAACCAGTTGATTCCTCA